AATGCCGAGTGCCTAAAGGAAACCACAGACTATTAGAAGACAGTCGTAAGACAGAATTAGTCCTCAAGGAGGGAAAAAAGCCAAACTTGGAGGGACAACTTAGCAGTCCACTGGCTGCTTTTCATAGTCACGCGCTACCATCCCACTCTTGGTATGCCTGTAACACAAAGTTACCATCTAGCGTAACAGCAGATGTAAAATGTCTCAGAAATAATGAGCATTTCAAGCGATAAATGTGGGGGTACATGAAGTAGTCTCATGGGAATATGCTGCTCATCTTTCCAGGACAAAATTTTTGCTGAGGAGAAACCCTCAAGCCCTTGCAATTAAAGTAAAATATTTACTTATCTGAAGAGAGCTGAATAAGTGTGCAAAGCACAGGAAACACAAGTAAAGTTTGCCAAATTGCGACACTCAGATTTGGAGAGCTCTGTGCTACTGCCACTTACGGCTACTCTGCTCCTGTCCCAGGCTGGAATATCACGACAAGGAAAGCTATTCATGGTACAGAAAGCAGAAAATTTTATCAGCAGAAGCAACCTCTGGAACTCTATTTTTACGACATGAGTTTTACACCTCTGTGTGCGAATTTCAGTACAGATTTACCAGAGCACTTTAGTTTACTAAAAAAGTTTTAAGTGATAAGTCATTAAAATAACAACCCTCAGCAGGAGCTTGCAAAGCATTCTAACAAGGCACTCCTCACTTACATTACTAACTTTCGCAGTTAAATTGTCAGCAAACGACTCCTACTAAAACTAGAGAAAAAATAGTGTGGGTCTTCTAAAGCAAGACTGAGATAGAAGAAAAACTGGGTAATCAGTGAAAGAACAGATGAGTAAGTTACTTTGGTCTTACTTCTCGTCTATTTGGTGCTGTGATAGTAGCTGGAGTTTGACATCCCTCCCCCTCGGATGGCATGGACAGCCGTTGGAGAAGACGCTGGGTAATGACCAGGGCGGATGGGCTTGGCTGCAGAGTAGAAGTAGGAAACGGAACAAGACATTCAGCTTTCACACAAGGTTTTTATTTCCTCACCTTCTCCTCTCGTACAAACCCCATCGTTTCCACACAAGGAGCCGTGCTTGGCCGAGTATTCCGTAATCCAGCTCTGCATTCCCTCACCTCGGCCAACAGCAAATACATCTGTTTGCTGCTTGGGACAGAGCCGTTTGACCACCCCATGCATGTCCCTCACCTCTGCAAAGAATATGGACTGGCTATACAACAGAGGGAAGTCACGACCCTCTTGGTGGTCAGTGATGTACTTTCTATGTCCAATTTGACTATTTATATCACTCCAGAAGGTGCTGAGACAAAGCCGTCCACGGCTTTCTACAAGAGGTAGCGTACAGCAGGCAATATTGTGTGCTGCCTAATTCCCTCTCAGGTTTTAAGATGCCAGTATTAGCATCACCATCCAAAAATTTACCCTTTGACTTTAGCAATTCCAACAAATCATTTCAAAAATTGCCCCATATTAAACGCTGTTTGATTGTATGCATGCAGTCAGATTGCGCCACAAAGATATATTGAGCATCTGAATTACACAGGAAGATTTTTGACTCTAAATCCCAAGGAGGAGTAGTCAGGCAAAAAGAGTGAAAGGGACAAGGTCCCGAAAGGCAAGGAACGAACGAACCCAGAAGGAGAGTACGTGGGGGAGGAGGAAGAAAGTGAGCGACTAATTTAGAGAGACAAGTTTTCAGGTCACTAGAAGGGCACACAAGACCCATTATGCCATTTATTTACTGAGTTAAACAGCAGAGGCGCTTTAAACTTCAGGTGGGGCAGATTCTATTAAAAAGTGAAGTCTTTGAAGATTCCTGTGCAGCAGAGGAGAAGCAGACCCTGTGGTTTGCCCTGAACTGCCGCTTTCAAAGCTCCGTTTAAACATGAGCAAACAGACCAACCATGAAGTATGTGAGCAACCACTAACCCTTTAGCTCCATGTCCTTACCAATTTGAGCAGAGTGTGCTCTCCGTGCCATGTTTTTGGCTCTCACAGCCTCCTTAATGCGATCCACCTCCTGCTGGTACCGTTTGCGGTCTCTCATGGCGTTCTCCTTGGCCTCCTTCAGTGCGCTCTCCAGGGCCTTAACTCTCTCTGCCGTAGCTCTAAGTCGTTTTTCCAGCTTAGGAAGCTCACAACGAAGATCTGCATTATCACGTACCAACTGCAAGAAAAGAAGTTTCCAAAATATCCTATGAGAAAGTTTATTCCAGTCAACAAAATTCCAGAGGTCTCATCCTGAAGGGTGAGAGCTCCAGGACAAACCCTGCTGCTACTTCCATATCCGCTTTTCTAGGCTTTAAGAGCAACTGCGGCAGAAACTCTACATTTCTTCAGAACGCAGAAATGTCCGGCATTTCACAAATACTCGATCACCTCATTATTTCAAAACAGTAATGCTTAAATATGTCTTGCAGACAACACTGGTTATCATCAAAAACTCAGCATCCCCACTGGTTATGGCACACTATTTGTTCCCTACTCAAGCATACGGGAAAATTGGAAACCTGAATGCCTCAAACATCGCTAAGAAATCACTTCAAGGTGTGAAGCTATAAATGCGATGATTATATGCAATTCTGAATTCATGCACCTCCTCAATTAACTACGAACCTGAGCAAGGTCTGTCAATTATCAGAATAACATCTAACTTCACATGCAACAATAGCCAAGATAGAGAATTGATTTTTTCATAAATAAAAGCCTGAAGCAAACAGATAGAAAATCTAGTACAATTTCTACTGAACAGATTATACCACTACTAGAAGTCAACAGAAAACTGTTCCAAAGGAGTGATTCTCCCTTTTCTGGAGTGAAGGGAAGAAAGTGATTTAACTACCACATTAATAATACAGTAAAGCAACAGCACGTACTAACATTCACATGTTGTTTGACAATCAAAATGTTTTACACCTGCTAGTCCAGGCTTAGTGCCAGAAGAAAAACACAAAGAAAACTTAAAAAAAAAAAAAAAAATTCACAATGTGCTTTTTCTGCAAGTGTTGAACCCCTGTTCTACCAAATAGTTATGAAATAAGAGCAGGATGGTATCACATTCAGGTCAAGTCCAATGTCATTTTTCCTTTTAAGTTTCTTATGACACATGGACTCCTAGTTGGTTTTGAGTAAATATACACTAATGGCAGCTATAAAAATCCATATCTGAAAACCCAGCAGATGCGTGAACTGAGTGCAAAAAAGGCGAAACAGTAAGAGAAAAGACACTCCTAACGTGTCCCGATTTCCACATTTAGAAACTAGGTCTTTAAACCATCTGTTCACTGGGAATCTCAAAATACTGAACCTTAGCGGACACTCGTCACGGTCCAGCATCGCTTGCTTTTTTGGCATTTCCACAGGAATAAATAAAGGGAATCTCAGAGCGCGCTGCGTCTCACCAATTACAGATTCAGAAAACTCCACTGGAGAATGTTATGTCACTCTTCAAAAATGAAATAAAAATCATCTTTACTGCTTTGTGCTCCACACTTGAACAGCAGGACACAGTTCAGAAATACCGACACCTGAAGCATACATACCTCTTGTCAGAAATGATCCAGTTTTATCTAACGAGGTGCTACCTCGATACATACACCCACCATTGATACCCACCCACTTCCAGTAAGCAGAGGGTAGGGCTCTTTCCTCGACCTATACCCAAACCGCTTGCCTACCGCCCATCCTCTCCACTCCCCGTTTGCACGGTGGGTACCAAGGGTGAAGGGCTCTCCGTAGCCCTTGTCTCTCTGAACAGCAGGATTGCGAAGGAAAGGGGAGCTCCATGGAAGAGGGAGGAGACAGAGATGGACGTGCCCGGAAACGGCCAACCTCAGCATCCCGGGGAGGCACCAGCCCTTAAGCCGCACAGAAAACAGCTGTTTCTTTGCCTTTGTACTCTGCTGGTTGATGCCACTCAAGTCACCTCCAAGGGTGACTCTAAGCAGCTTCAGACAGACCAGGAGTCAAAACTGGCGATACACAATCCATCTAGAAACCAGCAATCAGCACGCAAGACAATAACAAACATTTTATTCTGATTTTTATGTGTTGCACCAATACAGGGACAATTAGTCTTGCCAAAACTGCTAGAGTCTATTTTCATAGAAAAAAATAATTGCTTATTTAAGACATTCATAAGAAGTACGAGAAGTGGGAAGAGCAGCTCTAATACCAACCCCTAATGCCAAGAATTTTACTTGAGAACTACAGGTACTACTTCCTCAGACGATACCTACATGTTACCTTCAAATATCCTGTAAAACATAAAAAGTATACATTTTTGTAGAAAAGGTGATTTGTAATACTACAGAACAGTGATACACGTAAATTTTTTCTCGTAGCTGAGTTTTCAGAAGCAATTACTATTAATCAATGAAAGAGATACCAAAGATTTTGATTTATTTTGATTTATAATCAGACACCGGCAGGATGCAGAGCCCTTACCTGTTTGTGAACCTTTGTAAGCTGTTCCAGGTTGTTCTCAAGAAAGGAAATTTTCTGCTTCTGCGCAGCACTTCCACCTCCGTCGTCGCTGTCAAGTTCAACGCTCTGCACAGAGAGTTGCAGCATTCAGCAAAGCCAGGCAGAAGCTCAAGGGGAAGCTCAGGACTTTTGTGAATTTAAGCTTCCCAAAGGTAGAAAAGTCTTCCAGTGCCCCAGATTAAAGAGAATTTATTTTATCTGTTCATTTGATATTTAAGAGCCAAATTCCCCGCTACACAAAAAATAAACTATTCTTACTGAACAATTATGGGGGGATCCTGAATAGGAAAATCATAGATTTTAGTGGGGAAAACCCCTTTTCCCTCTTTTTCCACTCCTGGGAGACATTTTTATGTAATAAGGGTTTTCAACCTTAAAAAAAAACCAAAAAAGTATAAAACCTCCTCCCCAAAACTCCTCTAAAGGACTGAAAAGAGTTGCGAAGCCTTTGACTGTCATGCAGCTCTGACTCTCTTCTTCAACAGTTAAAAATACATTAATTTCTGCCAAAGAATAATTGTTCACAAGCTAGTCACAAGCCCCTAGAAAAAAAGGGCTGCAGCATTCAGTGTAGCATAAGTTAATCCAAGTTATATTGAATAATTCCTGGTACCCATTAATGCCATCTTTGAGAATTTTGTAACCAAACTGAATTGGATTGGTTCACTTTGCTTAACCAGCAAGACTTGTCCTTAACAAATTAGGATCAAATGAAAGCTAATAAACATCACAACAGTTTTAATCGTATTACTCACTGTTATTGAAAAAGACAATATCCCATTTTGTAACAACGTGCACTAAAGGCTTCCAGCAAATTACAAGAATACTACAAAAAAGGTAAGATGCTGGTTTAAAAGAGTTTAGTCTTACTTTTTTAACGCGGGTGGTGAGATCTTGGACAAACAGTTTGCGCAGGTTGTGAAGAGTCTGAAGTTCTCTTGCCTGGAATCAAAATAATAATTTTTTAAAAAAAAAAAAAAGCACAAACAAGTAAGATACAGTAGATACTCTAGTGTAAAAATTCTCCTCAGATTTGAGTTGATAATATGACTTTGTTGTGCTTTACTTATAGCGCCGTGCCCGCCTGTAGGTATACGCAGCTCACCGAGAGGCAGTGCCCACCCTGTTCCCCACCGAGGAGGTTTTGCACCTCCCGAGGTGTTCACCACACCGATGCTACCCGGGAAGACACCTCGACTCCATCCTAGGGCGTGGGGAAACAACAGCAGGCAGCTGAAGCCTCACCAGCTGGCCGGGGTTACACACATCTAGCGATGTGAAAGAGCTCTGGATTCACGCGTTGGCCCACTCTGAATGCTTATTCACAGGCACTTAAGATGTTTAAGTGCTTGTTAAGTTTTGGCAAAAATCCAGGCTTTTTTGGTATGAATCAACTTCTCAGGCTCGGTGAAACCATCACGTTACTGGAGATGCGACACGAGGAGTGGCGACCCCGCGCCTACTCCCAGGAGGACGGAAGCACTCCACCACTTGCAGGAAAGGAAACTCTACGGGTGGGCAGCTGGCCCCAGCGCCAGGCTGTGCCAAAGCCGTGCTGAACAGAGCTGTCTCTCCAAAGGTGCTAAGGGAACCTTAGCTTTCCCATTTTGTGCTTATCCACTCACAGACTGGAATTTAAGAGAATCACTCAATAAGCTCCACCACGACTACAAGCTTTTGAACTCGATTATTTATCTTTGTGTCTCAAAAGAAAAAGACAAAACTGACTAGAAACCAAAATGGAGAAGCTTTTATGGCTAGAAACCATACATTACAAGCACAGCTTATTTAAGTATGAGCGATGTGGTACCCAGAAGAGGCACCGTGTGCTATTCCAAAGCAAACACAGGTGCAGAGCAGACACCTCCCCGAGAGCTCCCCTTCGGGGTGCTGCTCCAGCAGCCCTCCGCCCCGTAACCCCCTCCCACAGGTCCCCTGCTTCTGCTTTCTCGCCAGCCCGGCGCTGGGAAGGAGGAGTCGTCAGAAGCCAAAGCAGCAGCTGTGGTCCCACCAAGACTGTTCTTCATCCCCTCCTTCTCAAAGTCATCACCCAAACCACACACAGTGCCCATGGAGCTTGATGTCTCTCCATAGCAATGGGCAGGGATGAGCCACCGTTTGGCTTTTGATGGCTCATGTTTCCCTGTTATGCTTGATTTTTTAAGTCCTGCTGCAGTAATCATTAAAACTCTAACCAAATGAATAGAATTTTAATGTAACATAGTTCAAAGATGTTTATGCAAAAATTAAAACAATACCATCTGGGTTTCTGCAAGCTGAAGGTTTCGTACTGCCTAACTGATTTCCAGCTGCCTTACTCATTCGGCGTACAGGGCAACTCAAGTCTACGTGCAAGCCCTGTAAGTATCTGACGAGTACAGTTCAACCAGAGAGGTTGGTTACATCTGTCCCTCGCATGAGTTTATTTTAAGAAGGCTCATGTCAGGGGGAGCCATCAGGATCCAAATAGTTCATCGTCAGTAATGAACTCCAACTGATCCTGAGGCCACTATAAACTTAATTTTTAAAGCGTCACTCAGAGGAGAAAATGCTGGGTTTGAGTTCATAACCATATTAACACGAGCAACAATCACTGTATGGTGCTCCTAAACCAGCTGTGGTTTTGACCAGCTTCTGAGATCTTTGAGACAGCTTGCATATTTTACAGACAGATAAAAACACAGCTTCCGACAAAAGTGCGCAGCAACAGCTCCACAACTGACGTCATCCATCACGGATTGCATTTCTAACATTGCGCGCACAATATCATATTTCTGGTCAAGTTAGAGGCAGGTATCTGTCACCTAATTGTAGCTACGCTATTCAGTACGCTGGTTATTTCAGGTGATTTGAAGGACAGCAAAATAAAAAAGTACCGGTAGACTTATCACTGATAGGTTATTCACAGGAGGCAACAACAATATTATTTACATTTTAAAATTCAATTTCATGATTTGGCAAAACGCACAAATTTAGCCTATTATGATATAAATTGGTCATTTCCTTGGGCACAGATCCAAGTGTCTGGTAATAGATCAGTGATGAAGACCTAGGGGAAAAAAGCTCAATAAAGTGTAATTAAGACATACCACTGTTTCCTCCAGCCCCTTAAGATCTTCTCTTGCTTGTTCCCTTTTATCATTAAGCAGTCTAGAAAGATCACAACATTAAACACGAATCAAAAATGTTGAAGTCATATAAACCAGAAGAGACTCAGTCAACATTCAGTTTGAATAGAACATCTGCAGATGTGAGCAAATTGTACATCTCTTTGCATCTGTAATTACGCTCTCGACTGTCCCAAATACGCAGCTTTCTCACACGGAATGGCTGAGACGCCATGTCCATTTTTTGTGTCCACAGATGAAATTTTTATCTCTTATTTCCAGAAAAGACTTCTATCCAGAGGTCTGGTTTATTACCTAAAAAAAAACCCCACAAAAAACCCCCACGCCCCAAACCCCTAACTTCTTTCTTGTTTGTTTTTGCTGTGCATTAAGGAATGAGGGATTCAACACTTGCTATCATATTTCATAGAATCAGAGCTCTCAAAACATCTTTTGGCAAGCATCAAACCCACTATTGAAAAGCCTATGATATAAAAATATGGAGTAATTGCTAATCGTTTATTAGCACTGCATGTTGGCTTTCTTACTGAAATTGTATTTTCAGCATAAATCTTTCAACACGAATGCCTCTCCCGAAGCGACACTATATTCAAAGTGACGCTATATTTGAAGCGCCATCGTATTCAAAGACACCAGATGAGAAAACTGTTGACTTACATGAGCTTTTCTAGTTTCATCTCTCTTTCCTGATCCTCAATTTTTAATTTATCATAATCAGCACTCAGTTTTTCTTGTTCCAGTTGCAGCTTCTGATTCATGCTAGAATGGGAAAGAAAAAGTCAGTACAGCTCAGTCCTGAACCCCCCAAACACGGGTGGGTAAATCTCCTCCATAAACAAAATGGGATTAGAGAGAGAAAGTAAAGCTGTACTCTCTACTGAAAAATTCTGAAAGATATTAAGCATAAAGGATCTGAAGGACAATATTTAAAAATATTGGAGAATGAAATTCAGTGGTTTGCTTCCTTTATCTTAAAGGACACAAACTGTTCTTGCCATCTTTCTGTCCCGCCTCTCATTTCCCTACTATTAGTCTTTGGCCACAGAGTGAATATGATGAAAGAACGAAGGCTACATCAGGATTGCCTAGATTTTATGAACACTGACAAAAAGAAGAGTACAGGAGCAAAGAAATCCGTTTTTCAAGTGCTGGAGTATCTGACTAACAGAGTTACACTGCTGTACCAGGACGAAATATTACGGGTGTGAAAATGGGACACACTGGAGTCACCCAGACTCTTAGAAAGTTGGTGGCAGGACTATAAGAGGCCCTCAAAATCTTTATCTTTTAAAATCTGTTCTCCTCCAACCTTCCTTTACCTACTGACCTGCCAGTGTAACATTATTCTTTCTTTTTTTTTTTTTTTTCACCCCCCTCTCTATTATTTTATGGCCTTGTTAAAGCTCCACAGTAAAGAACTAGGCACTATGATCCACTGTGCAAAATCATTAGAGGGGTGGCTGTTGGACGTAAGGACACTACTTTCTGTAAGGCACCGAAATATATAGCCATCAATCAAAACTACCAAAACCAACCCCAAACCATCCCTAGAGCGCCACAGAACAGGATGGGAATACAGAAAGCGATGGAGCGAGTGAACATACTCTCTGATTTCATCGATGATTTTCTGCTTCTCTTCAATTTCGTCCCTCAGCCTGGACAGCTGCTTCTGGTGGGCTTCCCTGTGACTCTCCATCTGCTGCTCCAGCGCCTTCTGCAGCGGGCACAAACCAGAGCCACGCGTGGAACAGCAAGCGGGTAACACACGGCTACGCTTCCTCCTTACAGGTCCCCTCAATCAACCTGTCCTTCTGGATTTGAGTGAAGCTTATCAAGTCAGGTTCATTCAGGAATCTGCCCGGTAGATCTTTCTGTGATTGCAAAACTGTGCATCTACTCCTCCAAGCATTTAATTCAGACAGTTTTTAGCCATGCACGTACATCAATTTCTACTCATTTTCTTGCAAAAACTACTGCACGTGATGGCCAGGGTCTTAGCATATCACGTGCCAAGAATGAGACTGTTCTTACCAGTCCTCTGTTATTTCACCTGCTTGTTCACCAAGAAAACATGTGTACAGCTCTACGTGTGACAGAAATAAAACTCAAAACACCCTCCGCCTCTCGGAGAACTGTTTATCCACAGCCCTGTTATTTAAATTCTAGCATGAGGCATAACTCAAGTAGTGAGAAAAACTCAATGCATCTCTTTAGATTGCTAATAAAGGATTTGCTTTTTTTCTGCCAACTGTAAGGAATAACTGTACAACCTGTACGACTGTTTTAATAACTTACAACTTTTTATAATGGAGGTAAAAGTTCTGAGGCTGACAGACCTCTATCACTATCCCTGTAAAATTATATTTTTCCTTTAATGCAATTTGCAACCCCATCAGAGACACAACTTGCACATTATTGCCTAACATTTCTTCTGAGCATTCCAAAGGAAGAAGAAAATACCAGAAAACAGGCTTACATTTCATTATTATTTCTAGGGGACAGTCAGAATTGCCAAACAATTTGGGAGAGTGGTCTGGCCTCTTTTTTATTGAATTTGAGTACCTAAATTATATTAACCCCAATAGTCTGATTCACTACTCAGCAAATTGACTTTCAGCAGAGTTCCACTGGCAAAAAATTTGAGTAATATAGAGGTGAATCAGTATCATTTTTCAATCATATATAACAAACTGTTCTCGACTATAGATGCAATATACCAGCTCTTGTATTTCGGTTCTCCGTCCGTGTGATTGGAGGAACGCAGGCATCTCCACTTCAGCGAACACAGTCCACTGAACCTCTCTACTCTCTGAAGCTGGCTCAGCTTACAAGCTGGTCTCAGAAGACGCGCTCACCTCGGATATTCAGGCTGTGACTTCCTTTTTTTCCATCATCTGGTCAACAACCTCAATACTAGCAAGTTCTCTAATTTCCCATTGCGAAGGTCACTCAATTACATGAGGTCAGGTTTTCTGACAGAGGCTGGCAATTCTGACCAGAGGCTGAAACCGTTTTCTAAAAGCACACGACGTGTACAGGAAGGCAAAATTACACCCTAATTATCAGCTTAATGAACGATCTCACTGAGAAATGCCTTCTAAAATTGCCGCACGCCACACTACCTTCATCTCCTCTGCATCCTGAAGCCGGGTCAGATGCTCCTTCTCCTTATCCTTGAAACTGACTTCGTGCATTTTCTCTGTTTCGAGTTGGAGACAGTTGAGAATTAACCACACAGTTTCGGAACGTGCCATTAAAAAACCCCAAACAATTCCTCTTTTTACAGGGGGCAGTGAGATCAAGGGACACAGCTTTGGAGGGGCAGAAACAGCCATGGTTTGTAGTATCCACCTCGTGACCGTACTGCCCAAACCTCCTTCTCCTCCACTAACAGCCCACCCAGCGCCTTTCCAACCTACCCTTGTCTCCTTGTAACCCCTACGTATCACAGTCCTCCCCGTCCCTTTTTACTCTCTGCTGGGAAATGGCGCCTCCAGAACCAGGTCACTTCTTATGAGCGGGGTAGGAAAATCAGGAGAAGGAATAAAATTCTGCCAGAACTCATGTAGGGGATGTTTAAAGAAAAAAAAAAAAAAGGTAAATAAAAAAATCTTGTCACCACCTGCTGCTCCCAGAGTCAGAGAAGATCCCTCGTGCAGAAATTCAGCATAATGTTAAGGCTAGTATTGCAATTATACATGCATTATACATGAACCATAGCATTGCAATGTAGCGATGCTGCAAGAACTGCTTTTGATATACATCTTCCACATTAAATCAGAAGGGGAAAAAACAGCAGTTCTTGAAATGAAGTCAGCTGGATCCCATACGGGAGCTAGGGAAGCCACGCCTTTTACTCGATCCTAAGGGAAGTGGCTTCCTTTTGAACGGGGCAGGGCATTTCCCAAAGGGACAACTGAAATTAGACGGATACCCAAGAATTTTACAGAATACAGATTTAGCAAGATTGATTGGTGCTGTTTTGCTAAAGTTTTTTTGTTTTATTTTTTACATCATTAAAGCATAAAGTGAAGCTTGTCACAAAGTTTTTGATTCTTTTTAAAAACTCAGTTTCTCTGTATTCTGTGAATGGACTAGGCTGAAAGGGGGACTTCTGGGCTTATCTGCCGTGTAACGTACTACAAGGAAGTGCAGCGCGTTAAATATTCTGAATCACAATTTTATGTCTTCACCACAAAATACTACGCAGATAATAAAATGTTGTAGGGCTCCTGTACATACGATACTTCAGCCAATACTGAAATATAGCTGGTAAAAGAAACGATGACCACAAGACCCACTGTTGTACCTTGAGCGCGTAACTTAGCAAGTTCTTCATTGAGAGAGTCCTGTGACTCTTCCAGCTGCCTTCTCTTCTGCTCCATATTTTGCATGTAGTCTGTAAGGGACTTGATCTTTGCTTCGTGCTTTAAAGACATAGGGAACAGCAATGAGATGTGAGTACCACAGCTTGTTCCCTAAGAATCCAGGTACTGCCCTACCTGGAGGGGGGGAAATAGAAAGCTCTCCACATCCAGAACTGATGACTAGCAGAAAATACAGCGAGAGATCTGAGAAAGAGCTAATGGACCGAAACAGACTGCGGTTTTAAAGGTCACACGCAATAGCCCAAGACAAACACTGAACAGCGCAGGTGGTAATTCCAAAACATCGTGGGAAGCTCATGACTTGGTGTTAAACAAACAGCAGCAGCTTTCTAAAACCAGCTGAATACCGAGCTTCTGAGGTGGCTTCCTGGATGCTTCAACCTGCAGAAGCTCAGATGGACCTTCCCCAGCCTTCCTAATGATTTGTTTCTTGCTAACATCCTTTTGAATGAGAAGGGCTTATGTTTAAACAGAAAAATAGTGAAGAACGTAGGAAAAACATCAAAAATTGAACTACAATTTTCTAATTTGGGGATAAAATTAAGATACTGTCTGGGAATTACTACATCCTATTAATGAAATGGCTGCACCGAAGCACTTGTGGTTCACTGTTCTTAAAGTTCACCTCGGCAGAGAGGGGTTGAGACCTCTGGGTTGGTGCTATTTCTATGCACTGAAGATCAGACTTAAAGAGCAGTAATCCTTAGCAGGAGCTAAACCAGTTCAGCCCGTCCTGGCACCGAGGTCTCTGGGGAGGGAAGGGCGCTTGCCCGAGTTGCACGCGTTGGGCAGTAAGTCCTCCGACAGATTTCTCAACCTGACAAGAAATCTAGTCAACTCCCAGCTCGGCTCCAGAACGGAGACTCCTGGTATGGTACGCAGAGGTGATGCAGTATTTTATGGATCAGCTTAACACCGTACCTGCGCAGCCCTGTGCTATGGCATTGTCATTGGTAGCAACAGGCCACCGGCTTTGTGCTGAGTTTGCGAGGCCTCAGGACTGAGGCTTGCCAGGCTTGCGTTCTCTGAGCTCTTCTTGACCTGTCTGTGGTTTTTTTTAATTTTACTTGGTGGCTTTATAGATAAGGTGTGTTTGCCCATTTTGATTTTGAACATAACAACGCCCAGCTTCTTCCTGGTTTTAAACACAGATGGGCCTCAACATGCACCTAGCTGTAGAGCTTCCAAATACCAGACAAGGCGATCACCTGCTTACGAGTTATTTCTGCTTGGTTTCTTCATCACATGAACATACAGCACAAGTGTAGGAGGAAAAAAAAGATGCAGCCTTGCAGTCTCACCTCTTATATTGCCTCTTTCCACAAGATTAAGTCTTTCAAATCCTAAACCTCCAGTCTCCTGTCTGTAAACAGGTACTGAGGACAACAGTTAGGTCAAGCTTGTGACAAGCTCTGAGCGCTGAAGTGGCCATGTCAGCCCAGGGTCTACTTTAAGACAGGATGAAAAGTATAGTTTTTACTTGACATTTTTGGACAGCAAATCCCCTCAGGACTCCAGCCTCCCCTTAATATTAAGAAGCTCACAACTACACCTCTATCAAGCAGAACTTAATAAAGACATTCTGCTGCCAGACAAGAGGCTATCCTTGCTTCAGATTTTCTTAGGCTAACTGGTATCAAATGGAAGACAGTAAACAGTATCATCTCCTCCCCTTCACATGGCCACTTCAAGCAGTTGAGCATGGCAAAGCAGCCAGCCCCATCTCCTGCAGCAACCACCACTGCTTGTAGCTGCTGCCCATGGTGAAGCCCTCCAGCCATCTGGATTTCTAACCGATATGGTAACGTTTCCCATAACATATTATTTTATATACTGCTGCCTGGCTATCTTGGTAGCATACTAACAGACCAGATATGGGGGCCTTCCGAATGTTTTGCTACTGAACCACACAATCGCTGCTTCCTTTCTCAGGTTGCTTTTAAGGTGAAAATACAAGATACAAATTCATGCTGAGGAAATCACTCCGAGGAGGATTTTCAGTATTATACCATAGAATACATTCTGAGATCTACAACAGGGCGTGATCTTGCCACAGAATGTGCTGAAACACATTGAGGGGGAAGAATGGGAGAAGAGAGAAAACAACAACAAAACAGACAAGAGAAACATCACTCTGCTCCCCGAAGTTTCATTTCTCGCTCCTAGCACATACATTTTATGAGGCAGGAGGCTGAGAAAGTCATCAAGCCTTGCTGCAAAGGGACAAGGAAGGAACAAACATACTTGTGAAATGAGGAGCTGGCAAGCTGCAAGCTCCCTCTCGCTGGCGTTCATCTTCCTGTTGGAGTCTATCTGGGCGCTCTCCAACTGCTTGCTGCGGTTCACCAGAGACTTCACCTCAGACTTCATCTTGCTGATGTAAAGCCGTGCCATGGTGAACTCCTCCTCAATCACCCCGTTCACATCTGCTAACTAAACACACACAAGATTGCAATCTTGAAGGTGTGGTTCTTAGAAGGAAGTCAATGCAAAGCAATCTTCCTGCTGTGAAACTCTTGTCTAGAGCTAGGAAGCTTCTGTGAAAGCAAGCAGTCCTCAAGGAGTACTTTTAAACATGTTATACCACTGTTTCTGACAATCCTCACTGATAAGCCTCCAAAGTGAGAAATTAAGGCTTGCACTCACAGTGTGCTTCATCAATTTAGTGATTCAACATCTAACGTACTCAAGCCTGCCATCATGGCCAGAGCACGTTTTGGAGAATTCTTCTCATGTCACAGGCACAGGAAATTTTCCTTCTTTCAAACAGCTAAAAGCTGAAGAGCATTTTCAAAGTACTCCTTAAAGAAGTCTCCTCTTGAAGTGTTGTGCTTCTTCAATAAGGAGCTGTAACACAGACATGGGTCTGGAAATCTCACCTGGCAAGACAAAAGTAATCTCTCTCATCTCTAAATATTAGTATCATTTTACTTATATATCATTTTCCTCCCTGGTTTAATGTGTTGCCTTTTATTTGCAAGTCTCTCTATGATTTTTCTTCAAGTACTAAATTCATGTAACCTACTGACGAGCTGTGAAGGTCCTCCTTGAGCGAGCAGATGGCTGGCGACTTCATCTGCTTTTCAGCTTTTTCCCAGGACCGCCAAGGGGAAGGTAACACGCACTGTATCTTCTCCCAAGAGCCTAAAAAATGTGACTGCTTCCAAAACCCTCAGTCTGGTCTGAAATTAGACACACTTTGAGAAGCTGCTAATTGCCAACAAATTTGAAATCGTTCTTCTAAAACCTTCTCAATCTGGCCTTATTTACACTGTCAGCTGTCCTGTAAAATGCTGACATCTTAGTTACTATAAAAATTTGTATCAAACAGCCTCTAACCTCCATTTTCAAAGATTTCCTCGTACAGTTCCTATCACAACGGCCACCAGAGGTTGCTGTAACATCTAGCAAAGGCTGGTCTTGTGGTCCAGGCATCTGCGTAACCACATCAGACAACAGGGATCCTGTCCTCTGCAGTAAGATCTGCTGATCTAAGGGGGCTTTAGCAGGATATCAGCAACTCTCAGAGTCATCTCAAAGCACTCCGGCCACGCACCCTCACTTTTAGCTTTGAATGTTCAGGAAAGCTCATTGCTCAAAAACCGAGAAGTGAACTAAAAGCCAGAAAAGGGAGTGTGGCGCAAGGGAGTCACACACATCTTGAAAATTAATTTCTTATCCAGTTTTAGCAATTGCTCTTTTGCACGTGGTTTTAAATGGGCAGATGACATTAGCATCACCAGGAAGATGTTCCAGGCCATGAAAAGTTTCCATCAGAGATGTGCCATTTAACAATGACCGTACAAATATCTTCTCTGAGGCTTAGCATTTTGCTCATCTGCAACGGGAGAGGATGACAAAGCGAGCAGCTACCTCCTTTACCGTGCCTGTAAACCCAAGAGCCAGACAGAAGGCAAATTTCAAAGCAAAGCTGGCCAAAATTTGCACCATCTCCAGGCACGTTCAGATACCAAGGTTTCTGCTGCTTCAACCACCTTCACTCCCATTCTTACCTTCCCACCTCAGAGGAAAATGATCCTCTGCAATTTTTCCTCTGTAACGGTCATTAGTCAATACACAAAAGTTAAGCTGGTCCTACCGTCATGTAAATATTTATGTGGTATCTAGCATAAATTTACCAATGCTGGAAATCAGTGCTCTTAAAGGATCTTGTGTTCAGAAACGCACATCAAAGTGTGAGCTCTTTGATGAAGCCAGCCACTGTCGAAAGGTAGCAAACAACAGAGCGCAGAAAACACAATTTCCATGCGGATCTCGCCATTCAGGTGCCCTGGGCAGCCGTCAGGACGGACCTCTGGCTGTGGGAACTTTCACCTGCCGCCACACAACAGTTTTAGGACAAACTTCAAACAAAAAGGTAGCCACTCAGAAGCCAAATCCCACCAATAAAGATTCTTGGACTATCGAGTCACGCAAGCTAATGAAGGAGTGGGGCTACGTGTGTCTTGTTTTGGGGGGGGAACTTGGTCGTCCCCTATTAATAAATGCACCAGCACACAGATGGGCTGCATTAGTCCGGCCTCAAACACGGAGCTGGGAATAAAGGCGTGGCCTGGTTTCGGCAGGGATAGGGTTGATTTTCTTTCTGACAGCTGGTTAGTGCTGTGGTTTGGTTTTCGGATGAGAACAACGTTGGTAACACACTGCTGGTTTCGGCTGTTGCCAAGCAGTCAAGGACTCTGCAGCTCCTCGCCCTCACCCTGCCCTGCTAAGGCGAAGGCGGGGGGCACCCGGAGGCTGGGAGGGGACACGGCCACGACAGCTGACCCAAACTGGCCAAAGGGATATTCCATACCAGACGCCATCACCTCCCGTTTATAACTGGGGGGTGGGCTGAGAGGTGTGTAACTGGGGGCCTGGCACGCTAGCTGGGCTCTTGCGCGGTGCCGTTCGGAGCGATGGCGTTTGTCTTCCCAAGTGACACGTGCCGGAGCCCGGCTCTCTGGGGATGGCTGAGCACCTGCCTGCCATGGCGGGTGGGAAATGCCTCGCCTTGCTGCACTTGCGCGTGTGGGCTGGGAGGCTGGGCAGCTGGGGGTCGTGCGTAGCATTGACTTTGGGTGATAAGAAATTGTGCTGGTCATCACTTCTTTTGTACATTACTATTATTATTATTATTATCCTTTTTGTGTTTGTCCTATTAAACTTTTTATCTCAACCCATGAGTTCTCTTATTCTTCCGATTCTCTTCCCCATCCCGTCGAGGGGGAGCGAGCGAGCAGCTGCGTGGGCCTTAGTTGCCGGCCGGGGCTAAACCACGACAAGGTGGTAATTGTGTGCGCAGACACTGACCATCGCTGACCCAGACAAAGGTCTCCTCAGCGTGAAACACTGTGCTCCAGCCAAGATTCAAACAGCAGCGTCCTGGCAGAAGGACTGCTGTACCACACATATTCCACGTCAAGTATTTTAATATTGCAGGAGGTATTGGGGGGGAGGAAGCAATAAAGATAGCCAACTTACTGTTTTAACGTCGTTAGTACCAATGATTCCTCCAATCTCGCCCAGGTCCTTAAGCAGCAAGTTCAAGATTTCAGTCGCTCTCTTCTTCTGATGGTTACTGAGCTCCTGCAACTGGCCCAGCTCCCTCTGGGTCGCTGTCAGGGCACTCTGAAAAAGTTTAAAAGCAAAAGTTACCCTCTGCTCCGCAGATTGGGCATCGGTTCTTTTCCGATTATCTACGTTACGCTGTATTGTCTGGTATTTTCCTGAACGTGCCTATGGCTCAATGTACTGATGCTAGCAATTCCAGCGTGCCATAATCCGCTTTCACAACTCTCTTCCGAACAAGGCTACTTTAGATCTATTAAATGTAGTAAACCCTGTAAGAATCTCATTTGCCTAATACACGTCAAAGAAGGTTAATCACAGAGAAACAGGTGTAGAAGGATATAAAACTCCATTATTTTATTTCTAACAGATTTCATAGTAATCTGTTTCACTGAAGTGGATAACAAAGTCTTCCATGAAAACAGACCTGTTAACAACAGCTGCCTGAGTTTGTGTAAGGAATTAAGGAACAAAGATGCATTAAGTTGGGAAGCCAATCCTGATTTTTCTCATGTCAGATTTTTTCCTTAAGATAAGTACATATCAGCTGAAAAAGCGGAATTTTTCCGATTCCTTTTCCTTGAGATCGCCCGACTCTGTACAAAATCCCTGCTCCACAGCGCTGAGTCCAGAAAAAACAAAAATGCTGCAATTTGCATAAAGCAGATTTTCACATCTTTCTTGGCATAATACAGTTTTTAAATAACCAAAACACAGAATGGCCAGTTCTCACATTCAGTTTAGCTGCCGCTATGGCGTGCAAAATACAGAGGTTGCACCAGAGCCACAATCTGCCATCAGCTTCCATAGCGCAGTTTCTGAATTATCTTAATTTTATCGTTTAAAAAAAGACAGGGAAAAGACAGTAGCACTGCTGAGTACAGATCTTTTAACAGCTTTCCTGCTACTCCAATTTTTAAACTACATAATAACCTACTTGGCAGCAGTATCTGAAAGATGCCTGAGATGGCATAGGGCAGCCGTTAGCTGGGAACCCCTATGGAAATCTTGCGGGGCGGTGCAGAGGTAGGGGGCAGGGAGGGAACCAGCTCTATAAACCGCTTGCTCTTACACTCTTCTGCGCCAGCTCGTCAGCCAGCTGCTCGTTGGCTCTTGTTTTGTCCTCCACTTCTTGGGATTTCTGGTCATAATTGACAGCTAATTCTTCCAGGGCTTGAAGGACCTCTTTCACTTCATCTTTCGCTGCTTCGTTCTCAATCTGAAGACGGGTCAGCTCCTCCTGAATCTTCTCATAATCTCTCCTAGTGGAGGCCAAAAGCTGGAAACCAGATATCACAGAAACGTTAAGTCACCCAAGAACTCAGTCAAAAGCCAACACTGAAAAGGGCAAAACCAAAGAGAGAGAGAGAAAGCATGAGCACGCAAGCGTGTGTGCAAGAAAAAGAACGCAGGAGAGAAGAAATCCTGCTACTCTACCAGAAACAGCATCAGTTGCAGCACATTTGAAGGAAGCAAAAAAGGCTCTGAAGTCAATGGAAGGAAAGAATCTTAATCAAATCCTACTAGGACACAACATTGAGGCAGAGAAACTTATTTTAAACAGTATCGTAGCTCCAAATAAATTTTCTGCCCTCAATCCAATGCTGCAGCTAGGACCAAAAAAAAAAACCCACAAAGTAAAATGTTTAAACACAGAATCAGAGCTTTGAAGTGAACTGAGTAAAAGGGCTCTCTGAGGCAGTCTCAAAGACCTTGTGGCGTTAGAGGAATATTTTGATAAGCAAACCTATGACGATAATCCTTAGTTATCATCTGAAGCGTGATGCTGAAGACAGATTAGCTGCTCATATTTGCTGAGGCAAAACATTAATCAAAGAAGAAAATACAGGCTTCGCACATACTAGTGACTATTCCCAATTTGTAAAACTTACTAAATTTACTCTTTGCATGCTACTAAGAGAGATGCCGAGGTTTCGGTGACAGTGCTGATTGTAAGAGGTCACTTGCACGGTCCTCTCCCTCACCCTTGCACCACTCTGTCTTCATTCAGATGTTAAAGTCTCAAAAATTCGGGTATCAGGTTCTTAGCACTAAACCAGATCCAACAGCAGTCACATACTGCAGAAGGATGCGAAAATAAATAAAAGTGCCACCTAACATTTATTACTAATACTGTACTTTTGGGAACGATACCAAAATTGGGACTTAACGTTGCATAAAAACATAAAACAGAGAACAGTAACGCATAAAACTTAGTGCCTGAGATGCAAGAAGGCATTCACGCTCGCAGGTCATCCTAACAGCAAAGACTGGACACTCATTCACAAGACTCCCTTATTTCCAAGCCTTCCAATGTATGGATTGGCGGAATGTTGCTGTACTGCAGCTCTCTCGGGCAGCAGAACAAAACCCGCACTACCGAAGCGTGCTGGTGGACTTCTCCTGACCTGCCCCAGCTGCCCGCTGCTCTTCACTCCCAGGCCATGCAGAAGTTGAGTGAGACCCCAAGCTAAACAGAAACATCTCTCTAAAACGGACCACCTAAAAGGAGAAATGTCAGAGAAGACACTGCTTTTTTTGGCTCAGAGTGCTAATGGAAAATAGGAAACCAAGCAGGCAGCTTCAGACGCTGGCACGTGCCCAAAGTGGCGAGGAGAGGATTCAGATGTAAGGGAAATTTATCTCACTGGTGATGCTGCAGCCTCAGAAGTGCACTCACGTTACGGAAAAACCCACTGAATTGCCAAAGCCAGATGGCATGTAAATATTTAAACAACAAAATAGCTTCAAATAATCTTTCTACTAAACACAGATGGAACTATTATTTACATTTACTTAAGAAATTTTCTGCGTGAATATTACTGTGACTTCAAGTAAAGGGAAGTGTTATATATCACCTAGAGCATAAACACAGCTCCCCAGAAGATTCTTCTTGATATAATGTGGAAAGAGATACCAAGATTTTAAAAAGCTATTAATAAGGCATTATACCGATCAGTTGTAAACAAAGGGAAGGAGACGACGGCTGCAGCACTTTGGGGATCTGTTCACAGCACGTGAGACGCAAGGGTGGAAGATTCAGAATCCCCCCCAAACACACACGCAAAGAAACAGCCAGCGGTGAAAAGGTACCAAAAGATACCGGTGTCGGCACAACGCCAGCTGTGGCAGGCCTTAGATTTATAATTAACCTGCTAGCTTAATCAAGCAGAAAAAAGTATTCTGGTTAATTAGGGGGAAGCAGAGTGAGGCAGCTGCTCTGCAGCATGTATATCATGGAGCTAATCACAGCTCTAAGAGAGAACAGGTACATCGCTTCCGCAGCACAGGCGAAGCTTACGTGTGGAAGACAAAACCTTGAAAAATTAATTCAGTTCCCTTCAAGAACAAAAATATCGCTTTAGCTTTCAAAGGTAAGAGATGGACAAGCTTCTCAGATGGACCAGCTAAACCTTCTGAACGAGCGGTGCAACATCAGCTGCAGAGACTTCAGTAAGACAGCAGAGCAGGAACAGAGCGTGTGCAAAAATGGGGAAAAGCGGTCTGTAAGGCAAGGATTGGAAGCCACTGAAAACTTGATTCATCTTCCGGGTGTAATATTGAGTATGGACCACAAAGAAGGTGAGGAATAAGTACAGCGTGCTCCCAAATATCTAACAAAGAAAGGAATGCACATCACCCAAAAAATAAGACACAAGAAAAACCATGAGGGGAAACTAAGCTTTAGATGAGAACCCTGATGTAATACAGATGGGAGAAGTGAGATGGCATAAACAACGCACATCAGAAAATAATGCTGCTAAGAATGCATAAAATTCTGTTACATTTGTATAGCCACGGACACGGGTGGGATGCCATACGGAGCAATCAAAAGGAAGTTGTGGCAAATGGATGAAGAGCTTAATCCTGGAATAAAATAAAGGTGGTGGTTCCTGCAGTGAGGATAAGTCCCCAAAGGCGGCAGGTAAGTCATGAGCGATGAGTAACAGACATTCTCATACGTTGTTCTCTCCCTGTTAAGGAGCAAAACATTGGAAACCCTTTCTGAGGGCTTGGATAAGGAGTGAGACATGGAGAGAATAATTTTTCAATTACAAGAGAGGTTTCACACCCAACAAAAGCAGCCAGCGTAATGCTGCATTCCAACTGAAGTGGCTCAGGCAGCTGGGAGAGGCACTCTCCGAGAGAATCACAGCAGCGTTCCGTGCAAAGAGAGACCAACACCAATGTCGGAACACTAATGATGGGTGAACTCCCACACCGCATTTCTATTCTTGGTCTGAATGGTCCTTTCTCCAGTTTCCCACAGTTCGAAAACCAGCATAGAACATCTTCTGAGAAAGCGCACAGCGACATTTGGGGAACTTGGTGTTATTGCCAGATTTTGCATCTTCAAAAGCTCTTGTAAACAAATGACAGGGAGGGAAACGACTTGACTCTTAGTTCAGTGATCATATTCCCCATCTTAAAAACAACAACGTACTCATTTTACGGACAGAAATAATGAAATAAAAATGTTTCAGGTGAGCAATCCAAGATTTTAAAGCAAATCTGTAGCAGCACCAATAATGAATTTTTCAGTCTCACAGATTTCCCTCAGTACTGCCTCTAATTACCAAAATTATGAATTACCAGGAGTAATTTTTATACTGTCAGACTAGGAAATCTGTAACTACCTGCAGTCCATAGTGTCTGGACACCTGAAAGGATACAGACATATTGAAAAACATCTTTGAGGTGAAAAATACTGGCCACGCTCCTACCCTGGTGCCTCCAGCATCACCTGCCAGCAGCACGGTATGCTGCCAGGAGGAGCTACCGAGGCTTCGTGCTTTGCTCAGGATATTATGGAATTTGAAGTTTAAACCTAGCTGTCACACAGCTTTCTCGTACCTATTGAATTTTAGCCAGTTAATATCAACAACAACTGTGACAGAACCACTAAACAAGGGGCTCATAAGTAAAAGGTTAGGGGGGTTTTGTTTGGTTGGTTTTGCTTTTTACCTCCTCTTGATCCAACATTTGTTGCTTTAGTTTTTCAGCCAACTGGCTCTGCTGGTTGATTTCATCATCCTGCAATGAAATAGGGTTGGAGATTTTTAGTTTCTTTTCACAGTTCTCGCTTGGTCACTTTTATTTCCCCTTTCTAGAAAAGAAGGAAGAATAAGGCCATAGCAAACCTCGTGCACGATTGAGCGGTGTGAGAGGAGAAAAAAATACACATACACAGAGCTCCATAGTAAAAGCAATGCCTACATACAGTTGTCTCTAGTATATACCTAAGCGGAGGGGTCTCTGATGGTAAAAACACTGATGTGGTCAGAGTTGCACCTTAGAACTTGCAGGAGACTTTGTCAACATCTGTGATGTTTTATAGGTGTACAAATACATACGCACCCTCTCTGCCTCTCTTACTCTGCCCTCAAATTTCAGCTGAAGAGAGCTCGTTAGAGACAGGTTTATTAACCAACTACAATTTACAGCTAGCTCAGAACTGCATTAATGAAAGAGGAAGCTCAAACCACAACACAGAACTTGGACCCCTCAGCTGCAGGATTTGTATTTTCCTACTCCATCACAGCCCTTGAAGAAAGCACTGCCAGGTAAGGCACAGCCAGGCATCCAATTCTACTGGCATTTCAGCGTCCTTGTCAAGGCAGCATCCTCGTGGGTAGGAACTGATCCTAAATACAGAAGAGAAAGGATGATGGCCTCCGCTGTACGAGTCCTTCCTCCAAAACGCCCCAGGAGGCACACCAAGCACAGCCCCTGACCAAGTCCACCTCTGTCCTGGTGACAGATATCCTTCTCTAAAGGGACTCACAAAGAGAAATTGTTGCTTTTTACCCTATCAGAGTCCATTGATATTTTGTGTTTCACTGACAAGCGTCCTAATACATTGATTTCTGATAGCAAATACAGCTATCAAGTAGAATATATCGAATCATTTGCTAATATCAAAATAGTGCCAGATATAACATAAGAGTGGTCTACACTGTGACAAGTTATAAGTGCCGATATTTTGGGGTTGTTTTGGGGATCCAAACCTTCTCATTTTCTATAGTACTGCAGTAGTGCACCAAATTATGCTTCCCGTGTTTTCCAGGGTAAAACTCAAACCTGCTGCCAGTTTCCTCAAGTATAGTTCAGCCAGCTTTGCTACTTTTGATGAAGGAAAATGAAGGAATGACTGACTTTTTTTCTTCTTCTAATCAATATGTAAAAACTAAAGACTGCTACCGGGAATGTATTCTCCATCACAGAAAAGCTGTCATTTCTAGAAGACTTTAACTGTTCTTTTGAACGTCATCAACACACTGCTGTGTGCCACCGGACTGTGCAGAGAGACCTTGTGTACATCAGAGTTAAGGCTTAAACACAACTATCCACTCCCTCCCTCGGTATTCAGAAACAACCAAACTTTAATATTAACATACGAGGTAACAGTGGGCTTTTTTTTGTGATATTTTCATGCTAATCACAATTGAAAGTTAAAATCAGGCTTTATTTCATAGTTAAAGGTACCCTGAACGCTTTTTCTGGATAGCCTTTTAAGCTGTTCTCATCCATAATGGCCAATGGCTTTTGTATGCCTTTTCCCCCCCACTTCTTATCTTCACGCAAGCCAAAGCTATTAATGGCAAGTGCTCAGGAAATGTACTGCTGATAGCTGTAGGTGCCAGCAATGTACTTCAAGCTGTGCAAATAAATAAAAAAGCCACCTGCACTCCAAGCAGTGTTCACAGCTGGAACAACATGAGCAAAAGAGACCCAAGGGATGGTTATCTGTTTTCCTTAAAATTCTAATACACAATAAATATGTAAGAAATATTAAGATACAGACTCCCTTTTTCTCTTTCTCCTGTGACTCCAAGATGACATTACAGTTTGCTGAGGGATTTTACAAAAACCACTGAAGGAGTGCTGAAAAGTCTGGACTGAGCCTTTAAAATTAAAGGCAAACTTGGCTCCGATTTCGGGGAGAATGCCCCAAACACTCTCTGCAGAGGGAGCAGAGGCAGATAGCTGATGGGAAAGGACAAGACCTGGTTTAACGCAGTGATAGTGTTTTGAATTTGGGACATTTTCCAGTTCGCAGTGCTCAAGAAATACAGAGACACCCCCACCCATTTCAGCTTAGTTTTCTATTTACACCCACCGAATGGAGTCAACCCAAACGTTCACACCTTATCATCCAGCTGTCTGTAGAGACTGGCAATCTCCTCGTCATATTTCTGCTTCTCCTCCGTCGAGATGCTGGCAACAACCGGTGTGATGTTGTCAATAATCGGGGTGTTATCGCAAGGCTCCAGGTTCTTCTGGTCTTTCGCGCTGATCTGTTCATCTTCAGGCACAGCTTCTCCTGTAGGCACATAATCAATCCATGGTCATTACAATCCAAGAGACAGGGTAGCCCAAACCCACGGATGTCCCAGGATGGTCCTTCAGTGTTGCCAAGTGGGGCTCAGCGAAGGAAAGAAGGGCCGTATCCAGCTATGCAAGGCAGGCAACTGCCACGCATACCAGCGACAGGCCAAGCTGGGCGTGGAAAGAGGGCCATCCTCGTCATGAAGATGACCTCCAGAGACAGAAACACAAACACGCAAGATGCAGCCACAATTCGAATGGCTGCCATTGAAAGCACTGAACGCCCGGCTCCCCTTTCACTCAAGACCTCTATAGATGGGATTTAGCTCCATGGAGTAACAGAAGTGTAAATAAGGAGGGAAAAAATTGGACTTTCAGCTTAAAGTCTACTGGCAATTAAATGTCTCTTCCTCTCCAGATTTCCAACTGCCTTATTAACTCTCCCTCCCCCATAATGAACTGCTGGAGCATCAGGACAAGAAGCAAGACAGCTGCATTTAAAATGATATTCACCTTCTGCCTTGTCACATCTAAAATTTAAGCGCGTACACCAATTTTCAGATGTTGCCTATGCATACCAGACAGGATGTTCTCCCTACACATTTTCTTTCAAAATCATTTTCTCCGAGGAACATTTTCTTCAGTAACGTTGGTGCATTGCAATTACGAGCCTGCTGCAGTTCAGTGAAGAGGGACAGGCAAGGCGCTCATGCCAGAAATTGAATCTGCTCTCATTAGAGTCTGGTGAGAGTCTCTGTGAGCCGCTGAATGCTGCACGCGTTGCTCAAGGTGCAGGAAGGTTGCATCCAACCCTTCTGCACAAACAGGTTTTGTCCGTTTCTACGAAAATCTACAGTATTTTAATCCCATGAAGCTTTGCTAGCCATTCCTCTTGCCAAAACTATTTATCTTACTGGCAGGAGAACAAGTAAACAGGAGAAATATATCAAAAAATAAAGAGGCAGGCTAAATCGGGCCCCAAAGCAAAACAAAACATGACATGGAAGAGCACGACCAACTAATGGAGAAGGTAATTTTTTCAAGCTTAAAAAATGAAAAAGAATGACCTTAAATCAAGCACCACAACCTCTATACAAGTATTACACTCAAAATATTTTTTGCCCTGTTGTTAATGACTTGATGCTATTTTATATTATTAATGAGAAAATGTAAATTGATTTTTCATGGTTGCATTTCACTGGAGCAGACTAGGAAAGGTGGGCTCGGTCAGACCGTGGGACCTTGCACACACGGTAACGCTCCTCAGACTGCAGAGAATCCATCAGGAGCCTCCCAAAATGGATCTTTAGATTTTCATTTCATTGGGGTATTTCACTCAACTCGGAAGCTTTGTGTGGCAGACTACCACAGGTGAAAGGAGGAGGGGAGCCTCAATTTGATAGAGACGCTTGGATGAGAACATCCTCCTACCTGTAAACCACGTCAAAAACACAGACCAAATTGCACACTTGGATACCAGGCTGCTGCAATCCTGCTTCAGTGAGAACCGGGCACACCCATTTTCTGCTACAATTTTATTTTGTATATTATTTTCTAAATTTATAGAACAAGCTAACTGAGTGAATATTTATGCATGTATCTCGCATTTCATATTCAAGATGCAATTTCTGTGACACTTCCATTTGTAAAGAGCCTCCTTTGCAGAATATCCTTCCAAACAATGCTATTTCAGAAGGTCAGACAAGAAATCAATAGTATTTTGAATGCCTTGAATGTATTGCTGGGTGATGTCAATGAGGAAAACAGGACAGAGGCGAGGAGGAGGTGTGCATATTTAGACAAAACAACAGCAACAGCATGTTATAAGGTTTGTTTACACGGCATATAGAAAGGACCTATACGGGGTGTGCTAAAAAAATGTTTTAGAATGGGAAGGAAATTAAAGTCGTCACATTTAGCAAACACAGAATGAAACACGCAGAACACAAGCGGGTTATAAATCCCCAGCACCCCTCAACGCCAACAGCAGAGCGACCGTCTCCATAGCAATTGCACTATGCTGATAAGGGAAATACTCCCTGTGCTGAAGTCTCCTGAGGAAGACGCGGAGCGCAATCATTAGGTAACGATCTCATCTGAAATGCAAGTAAACAGCACAGGGAGCTGAAAGAGGAAACAATTTTTTGCACCCATAAAGGTCAGGTATTATCTTTTCAGTAGTGATTTCACTCAGGATGTTCAAAACCAGACTTGTGCATGACTGTGCATGACAACTTGTGACTAATAATTTAATCACAGATTTGTTCTCACTTTAGATACTTCACCTTCGCAAGAGTTACACGCTACTGAGCTGCTAGACGTATCAACACGTAGGACCTGGATGACAAGCGATTCAGAACATAAAAATGACTCCAAAGAAGCAGTATTGTACTGTTGGGGGGTTGTTGGGATTTCAGGGTGCGAGGGGGTGCAGGGTTGGTTGGGTTGGGTTTGGGGGTTGGTTGTTTGCTTCTTGGGGGGGTTGGTTTGGGGTTTGGGTTTTTTTGTTTGTTTTGGCTTTTTTTTTTTTTTTTAAACACGTGGAATAAAAATGAAAAGCAAGGATGGTTTGCTAAAATTATTTGTCAACGTTCCAGATTAAGTAAAAATTCTTTAATTGGTATGTATGCATAGAATATTCTGCCTCCACTGCCAACCTGCACTTGATCTTACTACCTACCCTGAACAGCAATTCCCTGTGTTTCTAAACAGAAAATTAGCTGTTCTCAACATAAATTTCACTTAGAAGCCACAGAAGGGGACAAGTGGTGATTATTCTCATCAGACAACACTCCTAATCATTGTACTAAAGGACTAATTATTCTAATGTTGAACGTGATTATAAAAAATCCTCCCAAGATCTAGTTACCTTAAAGCATAACGGAACTGATTCTCATGTCTGAGGAGAAGAGTTCCTTTTTAAAATATCAACATAATGACATTTTACCCTTTCTTTATTAATATGACTAACATTATCAGAAATTACCGATGCCCGTCTGTATTGTCTACAACTGCTATCATGCCAGTTTGGGCATTTAAAATGGTACCGTCAGTAAATGGCGGCTGCTGGTTTCCCTGGTTTTTGCTTCTTCACTTTTCTATTATTATTATAAAGTGTGAGCTACAACTCTGAATGGTGAGCTTAGAATTAGTAAGACTGTTGATTGAAGGCAACATTCAAACATACGTAACTCCAAAAGGCAGAGACACGTACCCGTTCCCATTTTCTGGTACATACCGTTTCTCCACCTGTTCAGTTCCAGCTCTAGATGCTGGATGACATTCTTTAGACTCTTGTTTTTGTCTTTCTCCTTCTCGTACTTTTTTTTCCACTCCTCCGCGGTCAGCTCCAGATTCACAGAGACCGTGTTCTTAATCGTCTTAGCTCTGCACAACAAAACCAGGCATCAGTCGCTCCGCAACTTTCATCTCAATACAACAGTAAGGATTCAGAAATTTTCCCGTAACACAAGGGGATACCACTGAACATTTGCAATTTATTTTGTAAAGCGCAATGCCACAATTCCATTTTCTCTCAAATCTTCACCAGCATTACTACCTGGAAGCCTCAATAGAAATTTTTCTGTATCAAAATCCAGCAGCAAGTTGACTAGCCAGGCATGGATCTGCCTATTCAGATTCCTCCAAAAAGAGAAGGTCTGGAAACTGTTCTTAGATTAGGACAAACCCAAGTCATTGCCGCTCTGCCAGGTACCCTGTCACCTCGCAGCTTCTCCTGGCCTGGGACCCACCGCAGAGGACCCCACACCAGCCTCTGACCATGGGCTCGCCCCATCTCTTAACAGCCATCCCTGAAACTCCACCAACAAAACTATTTCAAGCATCACAGCATGAAGGATGTCAACACAGTGAAGCAGAGATATGGAAACTTATCCTTCTTGAAAGCCAAAGAGCGCTTTCAGATCTATTTTTGGGGGTAGGAGGAAGGGAAGGAGGACAACCGCTGGTCACCACCAGGTAACTGGGTTACTGCTGGGCTGTGGCAGGCGCTCAGAGGGAAGGGAGCCCGAAATCAGGCCTGTGCTGCTGCAGGCAGGCTCACGAGTTACTGCCTCTCTAGGCAAAAATATCACAAAATTTAAAGCCTTCTAACAACAACCACCACCACTTTAGTACTGTGAAAACGCTTAGCTCCAGCTGAACCTAAACAATTGCTCTAGAAAATGCAAAGTGAGCAGAAAAAAATGCACAGCACCTACTCTAGCAAATCCACATTTAAAAAGAAAAAGCAAACAAATCAGTATGAATTAAGAAAGCTTCAGATCTTTGCCCTTCGTTGCTCAGACGCTGAATCCCTCCAAATGACTCCAGTGTCACTGAATAAAATAGAGGCTACGGAAAGGAACAGCAGACAAACCTCCTACCGGTCTGTAAAGCGTAGGCTGAAACGTCAATGCAAGAAGCTACGCCTAGGAATGGACTATAGATACATGGGCTAACTCTCCTTTGGGGAGAGCACGTGATCTTAATTATTTTCTTTGCAGCTCTACTTGCTGATTCTAAAGCATCCTTTAAATGTGGCCAGTCACTAAAAATCCCGAAACTTTGTTTTGTCAGAAAGAAAACACTCCCTGGGTTTTCTGTGCCTCATACTCCACACTGCGCTCCAGCGATTTGCACTATGTGGCAAACAGGAGTTTTATTACCTTAGAAACATTTTTAAATATCCCTGTACTTTTAAAATATGCAGACGCCTAATGGTTGGATTTACGTATTGTCTCTGCCAAAAGCATGGCTCAAGTTTCCACTCATTTAACTGCGCTAGGGGAAAAAACAGCACACCACAAAGTTTATTGACTGCGTTACCCTAATGATGGATGAAGTACTTACAAGCAACTAAAATGAAAAACAATATAAAAACACAAGAAAAGATGGAGCAGAAAGAGAAAAATTGGACTCACTACTAACAGGAGCATGTGCATGTGTTGATTAGTGTGAGTGGGCCTCTGAAGATGAATTTTACCCTAACACTTACTTTAATGGTGATATAATTCTTTCTTGCTAGGAAAGATGGAGGAACCAGTAATCACCATGACTCATGTACCTTCCCTTTAATGTTATTCAGGCCCTTAGTACTGTCACATCAGAAAAATGAAACACCACAACCAACGAGTCTGTAAAAGAAACCACTTCCCGTAGACAGCAGTATTCCGATCCAAAACGCTGACGAGTAACACTACGTGTGCGTAGTGTGGGTGCTGCTCTGCAGGTCCAGTATGTCGCCAGTCCTCCTACTGGTATTTCCTTTCTTACAGTTGAATGTTCTCCATGAGGAACTCCCATTTCAGCCCAATTCTGTAGCTCTTAAGCAAACAAACCCCCCTCAATAAACCCAAACCAAGCAGTTGCACAAAGTATTTAGCTATTTTCTTTCAGCTGACATCCTAGTCCTGAGGAAGGAATATCTTAAAAATGTTCCTCTTCCTAGAAAAGTCACATCACTCCATGCTCTGCTAGCCAGGACATGCAGAGTCAGTTTGAAAACTACTTTGCTCCAGACAGAAAGGCAAGTTTTATCGATTACTAAAAGAGAAATTAAACCAAGAGAAATGTAAACTGAAATAACACGAAAACTGGACTTCCTCTACACACTCTTCCTCAAGTAGCCAAGGATACTTGTCCCTGCCCACAGCAGGGGGTTGGAACTAGATGATCTTTGAGGTCCCTTCCAACCCAAACCATTCTAGGATTCCATGATACAGCTTCCCAGACCTGGAGCACTGTTACACGTTACAAAGCAAAAGCAAACCCCTTTTAATCTAGATTAAAAATACTTTATTTTTTTTTAAAAGCAGCACTACCTTTTAATCCCCTTAATCTGAACTATTACATTTTCCTCCTTACATTTCTTTTTACTTCAAACCATCCCTGCAGACGGAAGTTCAGCATAACAGCAAGCAGACTGAAACCTAACACAGTACCTAGTCATCTATTTAAAATTAAATGTCCCCGTGGCTGCGTTACTGCCCTGCAGCCTTATCCAGAATGAATTAGCAGGAATTTTGGGACTGCTCTTCTGTTCTACAGAGGTGCAAGATTCAGACTTGTCTGAAATCACCTGCAGTCAGAAAATTGGACATGGGGAGTTTGAAACTGTGAACCAACAAAACATTTAAACTTTTACCATCAAGAAAAACTGTGCAACTCATTATACTTCAGAATTGTTAATACTCTTTATTAAATTACTGCATCTTAATATTTGCATTTACTCAAAATTTCTGTAAATATAATCCCACAATATTGGATTCCAGTAGAAGCTTAATCTTCAATAACTTACGTTCATCATACAACAATGAATTAAAACTGCACAGCAACCCTTAACCTGATTGTAAGTTAACAACCGCTTCCTCCCTTTATAGTCCTTTTCCATAAAAAGTTGCTGCAGCAACCTGTGAAGTTCCCTTTGGGGAGTTCTTCCCTGCACGCTGTTGTTTGAGGGAGTAGCTTAGAGGAAGGACACGCCATAGGAAGCAGAGATGAGAGGAACTGGTGCTTTTTGCAGCTACCTGGCTTGCAGCACGTGGGTCCCTCCCCACCTTCCACAAATCCCAGCAGCAGAGGACAAGGACAAGTTAAATCTGGTTCTGCGATGCAGGTGGGGGAGCGTGCTGCAGAACTGTCCTCCAGCCCTAACCTGCAGCTCTCCGTTAGAGGCACTGCACCCAACCGCAGCTGGTTCTCCTGCGCTCTTACGTCCTCGTGCATGAACACGCTAAAGGGATCATCTCCCCTCCTGAAAGCCTACGGGGCAATGAATTAATAGAAGATTGTCAGATTAATCTTTTATTCACGATTTTACTTTCCAATATACAATGCTCCTTAACAGTGTGGGCTTTGATGCAAAAATTATGCATGGTGGAAAACAACCCATTTTCAAACAAATTCATTGTATTGTACAAACTGTTAAATAAAATCTATTTCAAACAATCATACCTTGTGAGCATTTTTTCTTTCTGCTATCACGCAACTAAAACATGAGTAATTTTCCAAAGTATCAGAGTTCTCCTAAATTACAACAAAACCGGTAATTATGTAATAAACTTGACCTATTTTTGCAGACTTTCCAAATGTATTTCATATGCCTATTGCCAACAAACACATATGGAATATTCTTTCTGAATACTTCCACGCTTATTTTATTCTTGCTTGTTTCTGAGGATTTGTTCCTAAATCGTTAAGATCCTTCAAACATAAAAACGTCCATGAGCTATCACAGTGATCTATTGAAGTTGTCGATACTACACAGAGTCCACATTCTTCATTTTTCTTAACAGTTATAAAATATTTTTTTACAACCATGACAATAATCCCTGAGATGCCATTCAAGGAGAAGACACATCTTAAAAGCATCAAGAGCAGTATCAGATAAAGCAAAACTGGACATTTTCCACCGAGTTAGCCAACAGAAAACTGCCCAATACCATTATCTTCCCCATAAAATTTCAAAGAACTACGATAACGCGTTGTACTTTCTGCAGAAAAAATTACCAGAGCTTCTAAGTAGTGCAGCTGCTGGCCAACATTAACATTTATTTTTCTGGTACCATAGGGAACGAAGAGACAAGTTTTCTCAAGTTCTCCACCACTATTTTTGAACAACTCCAGAAACCATAACCTCCACATTTTAGAAGGCCTACTCATCTCGCTCCCCTCAGCACGGCTCGCTCGGAACACATGGAAGAGCCTGAGTAAGTGTCAACCAGCCTGATCCCGAGTAGGACTCACCGCTGTCCAAACATCAGGGTCGACTTTGTTTCTGCTTCATTGAACACAGAAGGAGAACAGCATATCACAATGGTGGTTCTGCAGTTCCCACCAAGGGAATCCTGAAGTATTCGGGTCATTTTGCTGTCTCGGTATGGAACATGGGTTTTCTAATCAAAATATAAATAAGAGACAAGAACAATTTTTTAAAATAACGATATCGCAATGAGAGACAACATGAGTCGACAATGACAGGTTTAATGGATTTGAAGTGTACAATCCTGAAGAGTAATTGTTTTGATTAAGTAATTGTTTTGACTAAGATTGGATAGTCACTCAAGTGAAATCACTGAGAATTAGTTTCTTATCTTTAGTAGAATAGCAAAAGTGTCACCGTTTTGTTGTGGGAAAGCTAATATTTTCTTCTTTCTGAATTGAAATGTTAGCTATTTTTTTGTGTGCACGGCAAAGAAACAGATAGATAGAAAGCCATTCTTCAACAACACAAAACAGGATTACTTACAGTTCCTTCTGCCAAGGCGGATATCACATTGCCTAAAGCAGACAAAGACTTATTGATATTTTTAGCTTCGTCAAGAACAGCGCCCTCCGCTCCCGTTTTGCTGACCTACCAAAGAGAGCAGGCAACAGTCAGGCTCAGCTACCAGCAAGCGCCTGTACAAATACAGCTACAATGCAGATACCACCACTGACAAAGATGCTCTTGGAAGAAAAACAAAACAAGCTGATCTTCAGTGTGAAGGAGGAGAATTTTATATGCCCTTTTTTGTTAGCAGAAGCCTGTAATAATTCCACCTTTCTTCCAGTGTAACAGCAAGTTGACCCTTACTTTGTTCAGGGAAAAGCTGGTAAGTCCGTGCTCTCCTGAGGACACTTGGGGATCACTTCCAAGTCCAGACTGCCCATACAGATAGGGAACACCACAGGGATATTCTCAGGGCACGCTCAGGGGCACAGCATACACCACCAGTATCTTGGCTTTGTATTTTGCTTGCATGGACTGAGAATATCAGGACAGAAAAAGCATGATCTCACTCATCCTGAATGTCAGGTTTACTGATCCACAAACTGGATCCCACGGTGGCCCAGTCAAGAAGCTTGGTGGCCTGGGACCAGTACTTCTTCAGACAGCAACACAGTTTTATAGTCTTTTCTCAGAAAAGTAGCATAAAGCCATTTATTTTTCTCTACATTAAAACTACAGTATCTGTACTTTCCTCTAAAAATGGCACATGACATAAAAGGAAACATAATTGTATGTTTTTCAGAAGACAATCTACCAAGGAAACCCTTATTTCAGCTTTTCTGTACAATGTCCAAACAAACATAATGACCCACGAAAGTGCAGTTTTCAGAGAAGAGCAGAGCCTGACTAGGCACTCATTTTCTAAACGCCACTAAGAGTTTTTAATTTCACATTTAGTATCATATGCAATACTAGAAATGAACATGATTAATTACTCTGGTGAATGGCTTCAGCACTGTACCAATGGGTTATCAACTAGTGTGTCCCAATGAGCAATCTGAAAGCTGCCTGGCCTATCAAACAAAATCTTTTATTTTACTTCTCATTTTCAATAAGATATAGAAATCTATGACCACAATGAGAGACATTTCATCATGAGTAATTACCAAGGATCCAGTCTGAATAAAGAATTCCATAGCGTTGCAAAATGACGAGGTTTATAATTTATTTCATTTACGGTTAAACAATTTTGAATGCTCCAGAAGATGTTAGAATGAGAACTGGGAAACGACGACATTTTCCCACTGCAGTACTGTTCTAGACCATTACTCTTTTGGTAAACAGACACAAGTTCTTTTCTGGTTAGTATTTTTCTCTATTGGAAAGCAGAAATAGTCACCACAACCAAGAGAGTCATTCAGAGAGCTTCAAATAGATTTCAGCTGTGTCACTGCATTAACTGCTGTTATTTTGTTATCTAATATGTGAAATAATCACAGAAAATCTAGAAATAGGACATGTCTGAATATAACCAAATGAAAATATCAGGCTAATTTTACACCTGCATAAAAACTACATGACATTATTCAAATACCCATAACTAAATGTGAAGCTACATAAAAGTACACTGGTTCAATTCCCTTCATTATAAATGAAGATATATTGCAGAGGTTTGGGGCTTGCATTTTGTACCAATAAATGGTTCCGATCTGTTCCTTTTCTCCATCCCGCATTTAAAAAAAAAAAACCAAACAGATTGCCGTACTAATGATAACACGAGATAAGACTTCTGTAAAACTTCTGTAACTATACCTAGCCTAATTTTGCACTGACACACATTCACCTCATCAGTTTAGAGATCCCAGGAGTATCATTAAACAATTCAGGAAAAAGGAAAGATTACCTTCTCGCTCCCAGCCAGGTCTACCAGGTAAAGCTTTCCACTGAGTTTCTTCTCAGTTTCCACATTCTCTTGTTTAATATTAATGAGGAAGATGCTGTGGCTCCTAGAGCTGTGTTCATTCATATCTGCAATCACATTAGAACAGTTTTGTTTAAATGACTTTATAACCTGACATGAAATTTTATTTCATCAGAATTCAAATTCAAAAGTACGAGGTGATTTACTGAGAGCCCAGAGCACTGGACTGACAGCAGTGTCAGTGCCAAGAGCTGCAAATAAAGCTCATGGACTACAGAATGAGCTCCTACTTTCTCCCAACATCACCAAATTAACCAGATTCATGATAAATAACAGCCTTGGAAAAAAAAGATTTTTTTTTTCTTCTTCTTTCTTTTTTGAAAGGTTTTTTTTCCCCTTGAGGCAACAAAATTTGACGAGCAATGGTAAAATATAACGAAAAAAATTCATAGCATAAGAATAATAAAATAACATTACACAAACACAGTAAGAAACAAAGGTTTTATCCTTTTATGCTTCTTCGTGAGTGTAGACAGCTCACACAGAAAACTGCTGTGATAGAACAGACACTATTTAGACATAGAACTACAAGGAGGATGTATGTTCAGCATCCTGGACAGAGGAATAATTTTCAGCTGAGCAAGAGAATTTAAAGAGAAGTAACAATAATGGCAATAAAAAGAAGTTGAGCAGGTCTCAGTGCAATTGTGTGAGGAGATCTCCTAACATTTTAGCTAAAGTTTTCATCAAAACCACACTACTTAAACTCAAATTTCAGTGTGATTTTTATTGCTTATGTAGTTAAAAATCCCCCTTCACCCAGGCAGCAGATAAAACCCAGGCAGTCACAGCTTCAGCTTCCGCTATTCTAAGTTGGATTGTAACCATGTTATGCTTGAAGTTTCATAAAGTAGCCAAAAAAAAACCACCACCCAACAATCAGTAAACCACTTTTTCATCTGTTTTCTCTATTTTCTCTACTACCATAAACCCCACTACCACCTTTCTCCCATTCACAGCAATGTTTATATTTATCTGAACTCCCTGTTTCTCCTCCATCCCCAAACTCATTTTTTTCAGTAACACTTTAAAACTTGTTTCTCACCATTTCAGTCTAGGTAAAATTCATTCTCTGTCAACTTATGTCGGAGCTTTTTTGTGTGCACCAAGTGCAACAGGTACTACCATAACAAAAGGTGTATTTGAGTATTTTTTGTTAAAGAGAATAGCAGAAACAACAGGAGGAAACATTACTCGGAGAAAAAAGCGAATACATTTTATTAGTATGATGAGAAAGGCATGGGAAAGCTAAAGCAATATTGTATTTATCAAAACAAGAAGGTAGAGACATGGAAGAGAAAGAAGTCATCCAATTGCATCATAAAAATTTAAATAAAATTAAAATAAAAAATAAATTAGACCAAAACCCCACCCTACCACCAAGATTCGAGTTACAAGCTGAGGTTCTGCCAAGCTCACTGCTTGGATCAAAGACATCTTACAGTATAAATTGGGAAACAATACAAATTTTGACATTTTATATAACAATGCTATATAATGCCATATATTAAATTCAGGAGTTCTCAAAGCTGAAACAGTCAATAAATGTTTCTGTATGCAGTGAAGCGGTAAAAAAAGTACACTCTATTAATTTTAAAGCGTTATAATTTGTGCATCATTACATCGTTCACATAAGTAACTCAAAGTACTTGGTGAACATGCAGAATCAATACATCATTAGGACGCTACAACCACCCACACTTCATAGCCAGAAAAGCCTCCCCACAATACTCACTTGTAACGGCTACGTGGCGGTTAGCTTTCCCTTCATCAATGACATCCAAAACTTCTTCAGGACTAGATACAAATCTTTCTGTACAACCCTAGAAACATGCAAGTTGAAAACAGAACATTTAGGAAGTGTCCTAGTACTCCAAATGCCGTCAGGAAGAATATTTAGCACTGATGAACAAAATAATTAGAAGAACCATCAATATCCAACATGATCACTAGCGAGGCAATGGACCAAAACGTGCCGTTGTATGACATCCCGGAGTCGTCCATGGGATAACTTGACAGACAATTAAAGACTCGGTCAAATCCAACCATGCAGCAGAAAAGAGTTTCTGTGTGTAGAACACATGGAGCGACATGGCGTCTATTCCTGTTACTAATTTCAGTCAGATTACGTACCCAAATTAGTTTTTCTCTCTCAAACTACAAGACAACATGCATAGTCCTTGTTCTCTGCCTTAATGCAATATTACTGGCGGAGTTATTTTATCAATTTTTTTTGCCTTCCCCAGGATGCGAATAAACAGAACAATAGTATATTATTAGGCTTACATATGTTCATACCAAGCATATTACTTTTAAGTGAGGGCCCAGGAAGTCATAAAACAAATTCCTAACCCAACAAATCTGTTCTAAAATATTGCGAGATTACAGCATCTATGCAACAAAATATTAAAGAACAACATTTTTCAAAACGTTCTCTTTCATATACTTAAAATCTAACACCATACTAACAAAATGTAAATGTTTAAAGTCAGGAAAATAAAGCAAACATGATTCAAGCCCACTAATATTTCAGGAAACTGTTTAAATCCAGAGACCCATACTACTTGAACATCCAAGACCTTGAACATGAGTTGAATCGTTTCAGCAAACACAGTGGGATACAAATGGAAGTGTGCAAATAAATGCATATGTGAGAAAGAATGAAAAACTGAGCACCAAATTTTCCTCATACCTTAACATATGGGACTCTGTTTTTATCTTCATGTACAGCGAGGTTTGTCTTTGACACTAGGAGAAGAGATGGAGATCATTAGGAATATTCCACAGGTAATAATGTGGCAACTATAGGCAAGACAGACAAATACCGTGAATGTATTAAATTTATAAATGAGAACTGTAGTCGCTTCCCACTCCTTACGAACTATCAATATTTCTGACACATAAAACTTGTCTCTTGTTCTGTTAATCTTGTACCTGTTTCCTTAAGGTGAACTTAATGGCACAAGAGCTTTTGTTTATTGCTTGGATTAATAAACACCAGCCGAGTTGGATTTTGCCAAAGCAGCAAGAATTTCAAAAGAGACAGAAGAACTCATGGAATTCAGAAACCTCAGATACATGTTCCTGGGACACTTCTCTGTCTTCAGATTGATTCAACACACACAAGTCACATTTTCGTTAACATACAGCACACATATACGGAGATACAAATTGTAAAAAAGATAGAGCCCTCCTAACAAACTCTACCTAACAGAAACAAAGCAAGGAATAAGTTGAAGCGAATGTATTCTAAATTTAACCAAAAAACCCTCAACGTTTTTAAACCATGGTTTTCCTTTAAGAATGCACATTGCCAGTGAGGGTCAGACCTGCCTTGAAGTCTGTGAAATTCTCTGTACTCACTGATTTATAATCAAGCTATGTAGCAGTGCAGAGGTGGGTGCACAAGAGTCAGAGATCAGATGACTTTTAAACTGCAAAATTCTCTTTCACGAGCCCAGTCATATAGCTTAAATATAAATCACTCTCAAAAAGTAACTGTTTCCCCTTAAGCATTGATTCAAAGCGCTATACCAAGTCAAAAAACACTCAGTCACATAAGAAATGCAGAACTTACCATCAAGTAGGTCCCTTATTTTGTCCAAATATATCTCAAAGTAGGAAACCTAATTAAGTAATCATAAACATTACAGATTTAAACTTTGGGGATTTAAAAATCTCTGTACTTATATTTCCATATCTGTCAAAATAAAAAGCATCAAACTAAAAATAAACCCCACCTCCCACATAGTTTGAATTACATCTTCCATGTGAACATCCTTGTATTTTGAATGATTTACAAGTCATTGATCTTTCTTCATTTATCAATGATTCATCAAGAAAGTATACAAAAAAATCCCTTCGGACGAATCTTATCTTCTTTTTTTTTTTCTTTACATAAGCAAAACTGACAAAAATATTGAACAGAATCAAATCGATTCAGCTACTATCATATCCGTACAGCTGCATCACGAGAAGGGTCAAGTTTGACAGCTGTAAGAGGTATATTGATATTCACCAGCACAAAAGCAGACAGCATCGTCAGTGGTTTAACATACAAGTTGCATAAGCCTAAGCAATATATGTTAAATTCAACTTTTAAATGCAACATACGTAAAAGTTCTGTCTTGAATCATATCCCAAAGAAGAAACTGAAAATGAGCTTTTTCTGACTCCCAGAAGCAAATAGAAACGTGTTAGGGGCGTAGTGTCTAACCATACCCTAAATAGGCTTTATTTAGGGATTATTTAGCTAGAATACTAGATGGCTAAATTCTAGGTATCAGTAAACTCTAGCTATTTAGTAAAGTATCACTTTCTCTTGTGAAAAATAAATGATGTCTGTTTTTTTATACCGATGAGTTGATCTTCCTGTGTGACAGCTGCTATTAAATACAGACATATTTCGCTTTTGTGCATTTACTTCACCTGTGTCCCATTTAAAGCCATCCTCTAGACCAGCTCATTTCAACAGTCCGGTTCACCCAGACTCAACTCACGTGCTTTATATTATCCTACTAACACACTGCTGAGGACCAACACACACAGGAGATACCAAGTTCCCCTCCCTGTTCTAAACGGGCTCTTTAACAAGGCCAAGTGCAAGGTCCTGCACG